GGGCTTGCGCGCAGGTGATACAACTTCGATCATACTCTTTGCATGTAAGATCTCAAGATCTATTTGTTGCAATTTCTCCACGATGTCTACAGAAACATGCAGTCTTGCTGCCACACGGAAAGATAAAATCTCTTCTGCTAACCAGTGCTGATCACTGCATTTACAGTTTTTAGTGGGTTACTTCCAACCGATGGCTGTAGACTGTCTTAGGAAGCTGCGGTAGATCAACTATCTAGCGTACCCCCAAAAGGTGACTATAGTTACCTTTGAGTGGAGACATGTTTGACTATGTGCCGCGTGAGTTCATTCACCTCAAATAAATCCTCCAGCCGTAACAAACTCATTGCTTGTCGTATTTAAAATCCGTGCGAGAATCCTCTTTCAGTTCTTAATAACAACGAGAAAAATACCTGCAAATCGGTCTCAATCGCACTTTAGAGTACTCCTTTACCAGACCTCCTTTTTCCCACTACCTATGTATGCTTCTGTTCTCACTTTGAAAAACCAACTCACTCGCTTAGTCTTAGCAGATCCTCTTGCGATTTGTGCCCAACAGCTGCAACAGGAGATCGTCAGTCATTCTCTGTAAACCACACTTTCGAGTTCCACATCTCTAGATTTGTACTTCACCGAGCACTCTTAGAATGCCTGCTTTCCGTGCAATTTCACCAGACTGTTTTGTACTGTTAGCCGTCTTCCTTGCCCAACGCCGCAGTTTAAACCCAGAGTTACAGAACGAAAAACAAGCACTTACAACATTCATGACTAATCAAAAGTAGAACTGTTTGCGTCGCCAAAAAAAGTAAACGCTAGTCCCTGGCGAGCCGAATGACACACAGCGCGCCTGACTCATTGTGCCCAGCAAAAGGCTTCGCTGCCAACGTCAGGGACCACAGAGTTAGCGAGATTAAATGTTGTAGAAGGGCTGAACGATTTTTAATCGTAAATTAGTAACCGTGTTTGGAATTTGATGTTGTAGTACCAGCTTTTTGTGAATTTACGGGTGCTTACTAACAGCAGCTGTTTTTCGGGAAAAAGGGACTGCTTGCAGCGTTTCTAACGTTTACATTTCGTTCTTTGAATTTCTTGTATGCTGGTGCAATTTGAGACAGCATTGTTAATTAGGCCTAAAAACAAGCCCTAGACCTCCGTCGCACTCTTCAGAGAACTTTGAAAAAGCAGATTACCTTTAAACTTCACGATCTTATAATACTTTCAACCTACATTCGTAATCCTGATTCTGTTAAAATTTCTTGTGGACTGGGTTGGTGGCTCTAAAGACTTGCTTTGAAAAAAGGTTTTATTTCTTATCTTAACTTGCTTGCACTTTTCTTTGAGGTGGTTCTGGAAACAATTTGCTACTCTTGACAAACATTCGAAAGAAATTTACTTTTTT